GGGTTTTCGGTTTTAAAGCTGTTAGGGGCTTGGGGTTCAGGGTTTAGAGTGTGTTTAGGGGCTCTTAGGGTTTTAAGGATTTAGGCCTTCGGGCTTCAAGGTTTGAAGGTTTTAGGACTTTAATATTTTTGGGCTTTAGGGCTTTAGTGCTTCAGGTTTCGTTAGGGCTTTAGGGGTTTGGGTTTCGCCTCCAAGCCCTTGACCTCACCCTGAAGCCCAATCCAGGTGCACTTATTCGGCGAGCTCAGCCTTTGCAGATCGAGGCCATCGAAGCTTTTTAATCTGATGCAATTTCGGGCTTAGGATTAAGGCTTCGCTGGCACTGTGCCCTCGTGCGCATTCAGGATACTCCGTCGCAGCACTCAGCAAGCCCGGAGCAGGACTTCACATCTTTTGCGATTCTCCATGGGCCTTAATTAAATTTTTGGGGCTTCGCATGGGCATGAACCGCGTGGGCAGTGTAAAACTTTGAGGAGTCATGCCCCCTTCTGTTTGCAGGACCGGCCCCGAAAATCGTCCAGTTTGTTATTTGCATCAGAGACAGAAGCAGCAAAGGAGGAAACCGTGCAACGGAAGCCGGCTGCTTCCGCGGCAGCTGCGAAGAAGACAGCCGCGAAGAATGCCGTCGCGAAGAAGTGTGCAGCTACACCTAAGGTCCTCAAGAAGCCAGCCTTGAAGAAAAACCCCAAAGACTCAAAGGAGACGCCGTCAGACTGCAAGGAGCCGCCGTCTGACTCAAAGGAGGCTTCCGACTCAGGTGTTGCCGAGGACGCTACAGAGCCCAACGGTAGACGAGCCCGTGCCAGTGTCGAAGGCAGGGATTCGGAAGCACTTTTCAGGGCTAGTTCAACAAAATAGCATGGGGAGCTTGGTCAGTTGATTTGCAAGGTCCGTGTGCTCAAGCGCCGAGATGAGACCACTTACAAGATCTATGTTTCTCTGTTTCTCCAGAACAAGTGTCCTACAAGACAAGGAAGGAAGCAATCGAGAATGGCTTCGCCGAAGACAGTGCGAGTTACGATAATTAGTGAACAGCGATGGGCAATCAAAGCTCATGATGGCTGCAGTGCGGGGCGAAGAAAAACTCTGACTGTCGCGTGTTTTGCGCAGCACACCCGACATTCTCAGTTTGCAGCTATACACTTTTGTGTTTTTTCTCAGCCCCAGCCCTGCTATACCCTCCAAGCCTTAAACAACCCTGAAACCCCTAAACCCTAATACGGCTCAAACCTCATGCGTGAAACTTCCGTTCAAAACACAAACCCTATAACCTTAATACGGCTCGAACCTGGTTCGTGAAACCGTGGTTCCAAAGCACAAGCCCAAAATTTGAAGCCCTAAATACGGCTCAAACCTGGTTCGTGAAACCACGGTTCTAATACGGCTCAAACCTGAATCGTGAAACCGCGGTTCTAACACGGCTCAAACCTGGTTCGTGAAACCGCGGTTCAGACTACTACTTTATTACTGCTCAGTATCAATGATACAGACCGGTTCGTGAAACGACGTCTGCAGCTCAATAATCTTGGGTCGCTCATTACGGCCAGGTTGAAAACACCAAGTCCCAAGACAGTTCATTCATAGTGCTCTGCTGGGAAGTCGAAGGCGATCCAGCGGCCTTTGGAACTGCAGTGTCCTTTGTTGTACCGTTTCCCTTCGGCTGTCCGCGGCCGACGGGGCAATCCTTTTGGCGGTGTGCCTCCGAACCGCACTTGAGGAATTTCTTCCCTCTGGTCTCCTTATCCATGGAACGGAAGCCATACTGTGGCTTTAGGTGCATCGATCTCCGCGCTTACATCCCGACGCCTTGCTGAAGTAACGACATAGGTCACTGGAGCCACCGCTCTTCCCGGCGTCACGGGCTTTTGGCTGAAGTGTAGTTTCCACAGCTCGCAGCTTAGGCGCCGGAGTAATCGAAGTGCCTTGGGCTGCCATCATCACCTCGAGCTCTGCTTGGAGATGGCGTTGATATGCCGCCACCTGGTCCTCCGTTGGACACTGCCTGTCTTTGTCCCACATCTACACCTGTATGTTCCCCGGCAGGGTCTGGCCATATTTCTTCCTCGTCGTCGAGCTGTGTGTTTGGGGCCCTTCTCGCACCCTCCGGAGTAAGATTGGTGGCCTGGCGTAACCATGGCGACCTGGTACAGCTGTTTCGTCCCTCCTGGGACTCTTGCTGGGCCTGCCGGACGCCGTAGCTGGTCCCCTCTTCCAACGCCGACGTCTGGATGCCTCCATAGCAGCGTCCTCCATGCCTCCCACAGGCCCGGTAATGTCGACCACATTGGAAAGTGACGAAGACGCACCCATAAAAGGGGCCCCGTCTGCTGCAGATGCCACCTGCGCAACAGATACTGGGACTCCCGAGAAGGACCCTCCGGGTCTTGCCAAACTTTGAGTCACGGCGGGAGGCGGAACGTAAGGCTGTCCCGTTTGCTCCGGAAGGATTTGAAGGCTCAAAGATGCCTGTCCGGGGCTAACCGGGTCCTTTCCGTTATGGAACCGGGTCCTAGGATTTATGTTGCAAGGATATGATGGGCATGAGAAAACATGTAAAACAACATGTGTGATGTCGTACTGGAGAGGGGGGGCAGGACGGGAAACACATGCAACTACTGTTGCAACTTAGGCCTACGTCATGTGTGTTCTTGTGGCTCTATGGAAGCTTGACATGTAAAAATTGTGTGCTTGTGGCTCAATGGACAAAAACAGTGCCTGAAACTTGGTCTGTTCAATGTGAAAACATGTGTTTTTGTGGCTCAAATGACATCGAAAATCGAAGGCATATTGACATCAACACAATAATGTTTTTTTTGGGTTTCGTTTTGACATTCATGTTGCAAGAGATTGAAAAAATCCTTTGTGCCGAGCAAACCAATCAAAACCTGGTGTTTTGGTGGCTCAACGGAAACAAGAAACTTGAGTAATATGCAAAAGCAACAGTAACATAATAATATGTCGTTCTGAAACCTAAACTCTACGCACCCAATAACCAATCCCACCCACACTCAACGCCAGAGTTAGGTAGGCAGGTAGGTAAAGATAAGTAGGTAGGCAGGAGGGAAGGTAGTATGTAGGTGTCGGTGTGTCGGCAGGCTTGCAGGTCGGTAGTCCGGTAGTTGGATAGGTAGGTAGGCGGGCATTGTAAGTAAGTGCAGTCATTGACCAGGAAGGAGGTACTAGTTGTAGGTATTCATGCAGGCCCTGTCAGGATGTCAGGTGGCCAGATGGCCGAAGCTGCGGAATGAACCCCGAAATGGGGTGAGCCTGGACCCCGAACAGGGGCCGTTAGAGCCCCGCACAGGGGCGTACCGATGAACCCCGAAAAAGGGTGAGCCTGGACCCCGAACAGGGGTCGTGAGAATCCCGTGCAGGGGTGTGGATGAACCCCGAACAGGGGTGAGCCTGGACCCCGAACAGGGGTCGTTAGAGCCCCGCACAGGGGCGTACCGATGAACCCCGAAAAGGGGTGAGCCTGGACCCCGAACAGGGGTCACGAGAACCCCGTGCAGGGGTGAGGAGGAACCCCGAACAGGGGTGAGCATGGACCCCGAACAGGGGTCGCGAGAACCCCGTGCAGGGGTGACGAGGAACCCCGAACAGGGGTGAGGATGAACCCCGAGCAGGGGTGGGCCGGGCCCTCAAAGACTCAAAGAGAGAGATGGAGAGAGAGACATAGCGAAAATATTTAACGAAGCAAGGAAGGAACGAAGGAAGGAAGCAGGGAAGGAGGGAAGGAGGAAGGAATGATCAAGATGAGAGTGTGACTGTAGATACAGGAATGAGCATGCAGCAAGGAGTGATGTAAGGGAGGCGGGAAGGGAAGGAAGAAAAGGAAAGTCATGTTGTACATGGCTTACCCACAAAAGCTCAAGTCGCTGTGACCGTTTTTCCGCACCGCTTCAAGGTGTCGAGGCTGGTCGCGACACTGTACGAGTGACCACAGCTTCGTAGGCAGCAGAAGGTGATCCGAAGATCACAAGAAACTGCAGCCGCAGTCGAGTCGCGAAGCACCGCTTCCGCATGGGCGGGTGGGCGGGCCGAAAACTAGAGGTTCAGCCGTAAAACATGGTTGGGCATGTTGTACATGGCTTACCCACAAAAGCTGGTGTCGAGGCTGGTCGCGACACTGTACGAGTGACCACAGCTTCGTAGGCAGCAGAAGGTGATCCGAAGATCACAAGAAACTGCAGCCGCAGTCGAGTCGCGAAGCACCGCTTCCGCATGGGCGGGTGGGCGGGCCGAAAACTAGAGGTTCAGCCGTAAAACATGGTTGGGTTGGGCATGTTGTACATGGCTTACCCACAAAATCTCAAGTCGCTGTGACCGTTTTTCCGCACCGCTTCCAGGTGTCGAGGCTGGTCGCGACACTGTACGAGTGACCACAGCTTCGTAGGCAGCAGAAGGTGATCCGAAGATCACAAGAAACTGCAGCCGCAGTCGAGTCGCGAAGCACCGCTTCCAGTCTTGAGAAGGGCCGGCCGGGTCCCGGCGTGTACGTCAGGCCTGCAGGCGTGTGTGGAAAGTTGAGCGCGGGCTCTCGGAACCATACAAAACTCTCAAAGTCGAGCCAGGGAGTCGTATACAGCAGCAGCGGATCGCACACGTGTAGTGGACGAACTGTTCAGCGCTGCCAAGGCTGACTCTGCCCCCAGCTCCTGTAGGTAAAACTCCAGAGTGTGGAGGTGTTTGAGTCGCATCCGCCATTGTATTTCCGTGACGGGGATGCCCTTTCGGTAGGCCTCCACAGCGCCGCCTCCACGTAGCCCTCCAGGTGTCAAGCGCAGCTCGGGGGCCAAGTTCAGCCATCGAAGAATCTTGTTCCACCTGTACCTGTACGCAGCACTGCTTTGAGCGAACAGAGGCTGAGACCGCGCGGCAGAAGAAAACACGGCGGAGATCAAAACCACCGCCGTAGGGTCGATCACCTTCAAGTGTTGGACCCGAGGTCGCCCTCTTGTAGTCGTTTTGGAAGCTCCCAGCCGTAAAAACACAGACCTGCTTTGGTCCCAGAGGTCGTCAGAGGGAAGGAGTAAGTCGGCCCGGGTGCAGGCCAAAACTTCCCCAATCCGGCCCAAACCATAATAGGCCAGAAGTGTCACACCAGCAAAACTCAAGTATCCATGCAGCCATGCCACACATACCACAGCCTTCAAGATAGGCTCGGGGACGGGTGTCCGGTGGACCGGAGGCTCAGCATGCTCCCATCGAGTGATGAGCTCCCAAACGACCTTGGCGTACGGCTTGAGTTCCAAAAACTTGCGTTGAGCAGCGAGCAGAGTATGTCGCAGAGAGTACAAGCTTCCGTCGTTGCTGAACAACCAGTTTCCGTAAGCTCGCAGTGCCATGGCTAGGAGCGCGGCGCTGCGACTGAAGAGTTCAAGGGAGAGACGGGAGGAAGACCAAGACAAGAAAGACGACCAACCCTGCTCTCCGAGGCTTAAAGACTGCTCGCCCAGCAAAGGCCTAGACTCCAAACTGGGCCCTCGTGCACGTGGCTGCACTCGGCGAGGGCCTGGGTTCGTGGCTTCACCGGGCCGGGCACAGCCTACTCGAGCGATGGCGGCACTCAAGAGCAGCCCTCGCAGCAGAAGCAACTGAGAGGCTGGCAAACGGTCGGCTCCGACCCAGGCGGCGGAGCGGGCGGCTCCAAAGGCAAGCTCGTAGCCAAAACCCCTAGGCAGACCCCAACCGACCTTAGTCCCAGCAACCCCTAGACCCTCCCGTTTAACCTTGCACTGCAAATGAGGGCCTGGACATTTGCAAAAGAGTCGAGTGCCAGCAAGAGGCCCACTGCACGCTACTCTAGTATGCCGTTGGCTTCTCGAGCCGTACCTGCAGAGGTCGACCCGGCAAAGGCTGGGAGAGGCGGGGTCAGCGAAGTCCTTTAAGCAAGGCAACCGCCAACAGAAGCTCGAATCGGGCGCCACAACGTAGAAGGCGGCCTTTTCGGGGAGGCTTCGCAAACAGGCGGCAACCCAAGTAACCAACCTATTATCACGCCTAAGCCTATCAAAGACCCCTTGTGGCAGATGCGGCACGCCGTGGGGCTGAGTAGCGTTCCGAATGGCGGGCCGCCAAGCAACAGAAAGCGTGCCTCGGCTGATCTCGAAGCCGGTGCATCCAAAGATTCCTGAGGCTCTGAGGACCTTGAGCGAGTGCTCCCGGCACCCTGTGTACGGCCTCCTGCTCCCTCTGAAGGTGTTTTCGCTGACCGGCAGCGGGAGGTTCGTCTGCCCCCACCTAAGGTTGGCCTGAGCTCAGGTCGCGCAGCTCGCGCTCGCAAGAACAGATTGGATGCGAAGCGAGCCCTTCAAAGCCCTGCTGTAAGGCCTGGAGAGCCAGCCAGGCATCAAAGGCCTCACAATCTCCCGCAGCAAGAGAAGCGAACCACGGGGGGAGATCCTCGGCGGGCTCCCGCGGGGTCCGATGACGAGTCGGGTCGTCGGCCACATTGTCCTCCGACTTGACAAAGCCCAACCCAGCATAGAGATCCGCTCCCAACATCACGGGCAAGGATCTGCGCAACAACGAGTTGAGGGAGGGGCTGGACGACCGGCCCTTTAGCACGCATGCAAGCGCAACCTGACTGTCGAGCAAGGCAAGAAGCCGAACAGAAGAGTGGCGCCCAGCAATGAGCCGCTCGAGTTGAAGATAAGACTTCAGCTCCTTGGCGTTTATGTGCTGGCCATATCGCCCTTCCGAAATCGCCAAGGTCCTAAACCGGAGGCTGCAACCCAATTTACGCCACAGAGGGTGTGGAGTATAAGCATCCCCTTCTGGAAGCTCAAGCTCGCTGGGCAAGGATTCCCGCGCACGGAGCAAAGCTTGTCCTTGAGGCAGCAGGCGAGACCAAGCTCCTTTCACCAAGCAGTGCCGGTAGGCCTCTTTGGCAACACGTGGGGGCAAAGGAGCAGCAACCGCAGCAAGGAGGTGATCAGAAGCATCGGTTGCGTAGAGCTCGTCAAGCACAGGAGCCCGCAAGTTGGCAACACACACCGGACCGAGCAGAACCCAACTCCAGAGCTCGTCGATCAAAGCAGGGCTGAGTCGCAGGACGTGTGTGTCAGGAGTCCCGCGCAAAGCGGCAAAGCAGAGTTCGAACGTGCTAAGGCAACGACGCCGCAGAAGAAAGACCGAAGTCCAGGAACCCACCAAACTCTGCAACAAATGATGGGTCACCAAGCCCAAAGTGGCGACCCGAGCTGTGATGAAAGCGAGGGGCCAGAGGCGCCCGGGGGCGGTGCGAAGCAGCCCGCGCTTGCCATCCAGAAGAGACCCCCAAAACTGCAAAGTAGACACGTCTCGGGCACCTTTGTCGAGGTTGGCCTCAAGGCGGGCCGAACGGTAGGCAGCATGAGCGGCATCCAAACGAGCGCCTCCCAAGGACTCAGAGCGCCCTTCAGGGACTGAGGGGAGTCGGGGATCAGAGACAGAGGAGTCCAGGCAACGCTCCAAAATGATCAAGTCATCGATGACCACGCCTATCGAGAGCAATCCGCGGGGCGGCGGGAAAGAAGGCAGCAGCAGCTCCGAAGGAGCCAGAGCCCCATGTCGGAAGAGGACAGCAAGATGGCTTCCCTGAGCAAACTCGCACGCTGAGGAGTCACCCATGGCTAAAGTCGAGAGCCCCACCCGCACTTTCCCGTCTCGCCCCACGTAGGAGCTGCAATCAAAGTCGAAGACCTCAGCAGCCTCGGCAGGTGTGAGGGCCGCTTTGATGATGTTGCGTTGAAGTCGCTCGCCTGTGACCTGAAAGAAATAAAAGAAATCGCGAAGATCAGCCGCATTGATGCGTAAGCACTCGGTGGGCTCGAGAACGATCTGAAGCAGGGCGGCAGAGGAACACAAAGAGGAAGTCCAGAAGTGAGGTGGCCGCTCCAAAACGTTAGCGGGGCGAGAGTCCAAAATGAGTCTGTCCCGCTGCATGTCCTTCAGGACAGAGAAAAGGCCAGCAGCGTACGGAAGCCGAGATTCGGGAAGCGTCACGGGCAACAAACGACCCGTCGCAGCCAGCTTCTTAAAAAGGCCGCGGCGCTCAGCAGGGGAAGCCAAAACCTGAACGCGGGGCGGAGGAGCTAGAGAGGGATTAGGCGGCTGAGCGAAGTCAAAGGGCCGCTGGTAGCGCGCCAACGTGGCGGGATCCAGGTAAGGACCCGGATCGAAAGAAGGGCTCCCGAGGAAGCGAAGTCGGTCAGCTTGAATGGCCTTGGCAGAAATCAACTCAGCACGGAGCAAAGGTCCGAGTGGAGAGCCAAAGTCCAGGCTGGGCCCATTAGCAAAAGATCTAGAGCCGGCCTCCGACACGGGGTGCCCGGCTTGCTGCTCGGAGCAGCAGGGCGATCACAAATGTCGCCGCAAAAGTCGAAAGAAGCTGCTGCAGCCGAAGGGTTATAAAAGGCGCGAGCAGGAGCAGTATAGTTACAAGAGCCCTCAAGACTAGCAGCGGCCCGAGCCAAGGCAGCAAGGATCTCATCTTGATCCTCCACTTTGCTCGCGGTGCGGCCCATGGCGGGGGCATCAAGGCGAAGTAAAGGTTCACTATCCCAAGCAAGATGTTCCAGCACCCTCACCATCCGCCATTGTTTAGCGGACAAAGGGGTGCCGAGGCCCAGTCCAGGAGGAGCCTCGGCGGGAGACCCAAGGTGAAGCCAAGAAAGCAGACCAACTATCAAACAAGCCTGCTTCTTTCTCCAAGGGGAAGAAGCATGAGCCCCAGCACGAAACACCTCAGGATACGGTACAGGACAAGGCCAGACCTGGGACGTAGGCGCGGCTTTGTTGCTGCCGCGAAGCAGGCTGCGGAAGAAGCGAGAAAATCGACCCCGGCCGCGCAAAATCCAAGAAGGAAGGGCGCACCAGAAGCCAGGAACAGAAACAGTAGGAGCCCGGGCCCCAGGCAGACGCAAAGTCGGTGGCTCACCGGGCGGGTTCACTCGGTCTTGTCGGCCTTCACCTTTGCCTTTGCCTTGGCCTTGGACCCCGGGCGTCGGGGGGGATCGCTGTCCTTGTCGTCCTCCTCGGCAGCACTGGTTCGCCTGCCGAGTTTGTTCCGTTTTTCCAAAAAGTCGGCCTGATCCTTCAAGTAATGGAGGCTGAGTTCGGCCAGGCGGCTGTCGAGGATGCGAGAGAACACTTCGTGCGCTCTGAACGAATGCATCGGTGCCGGGGTCTCCAGCAATATTTCGGTCCCCATGGCCCAGTTGCCACGGTCCACGGCAACCTGGTCGAGAGCCACCAAGAGGAGCGATAGTCGTGCTTCCGCTTCTGCCGCCTTCCCTTGCCGAAGGCAGTCCAACGCCCCGGCCACGCTCCAGGCACATTTCACCATTGTCTGGTAGGGTCCTATCCTGGAACGGTGTTCCAGCCAGGCGCGAGCCGACGTGCGGCCCACGCTCCCAGGAAGCTCCAAAGCATGAAGATCGTCGCGCATCAGCTCCTCTATAGTTCGGCTCAGCACTTCGGGGTTCTCGACCAACGAAGCTCGCAAAGCACGACGAGCGGCGCCCGTCCGACGGGAGGAGCTGGCTGTTTCTCCCGATCCAGATCCGCCTTGGCTTCCATCCAGGACGCGGTCGAGGCCGGCGGCGGGCTTCTTGAGCTTGTCGTGGGCCAAAGCCTCGACCACCCGAGTCAGCTGAGAGATGGCCGTGCCGATGGGATCCTGGGAAGCTGAAGCGGGCACCTCGGCCCCGGCTGGCTCCTCCTCCTCGCTCTCCGACAACACGTTGGCCGACTTGGCTTTGGGCGCAGCTCGGCGGCGAGGGGCAGGGGCACCAGAATCGCGCGAGCTTGTTCATCTCTGACACAGGCACTCCGCTGTCCAAGGCTGCTCTGGTGACCCCGGGATCGAGAAATCCAAACTCGGGCAAGGGGACCTCGGCCTTGGGCATGCCCGCCTTCGCCTTGGGAGTCGCTCGCATAAGAGACGGCGGCTTTGCTGCCACCCCACTTCCCGCATGCCCGGGCTCGCGGTCGACAAGGGCCTTCACGCCGGCAGCGATCTTGCTGACCGCTCCTTCCAAGCGCTCGACACGTGATGAAAGAGGGTCCTCGGGAACGGCGCTCTCGGCGGAGTGGAAGGCAAAGGTCTCTGAGCAGGCAGCGGCGAGAGAAGGACCATGCGGGCACAAGGCCACGCCTAAAGCATCTTGACCGAAACTGTAGTCCGGTGCAGCCAAAGTCTCGAAAGAAACCGAAGCCTCGAACGCTGGGGCGTGGTTTTTGTTCCTTATTTTTCCGTTTTTTTCTTATTTTTTCCGTTTCCCTTGTTTGGCTAGGGGTAGGGGTAGGTAGGGGTAGGGGGCGAGGGGGTAGGGGTAGGGGTAGGGGTGGGGGTAGGGGTAGGGGTAGGGTCATAGTAGCAGTAGAAGTACTAGGGGTGGTAGTAGTAGTAGTAGTAGTAGTAGTAGTAGTAGTAGTAGTAGTAGTAGTAGTAGTAGTAGTAGTAGTAGGTGTAGTAGTAGTAGTAGTAGTAGTAGTAGTAGTAGTAGTAGTAGTAGTAGTAGTAGTAGTAGTAGTAGTAGTAGTAGTAGTAGTAGTAGTAGTAGTAGTAGTAGTGGTAGTAGTGGTAGTAGTGGTAGCCGCCACAAGTGCTCAAGCGGCCGCGCTGGTTGAGAAGTTTCGAACAGGCTTGGGGCGCAACTGCTGTGCTAGAGGCTCCTACTGGGCCCTTTTCTGAACAGTAAAGGTTTGCGCCTCCTTTCTACGCCATGGTCCTCTCCCTTATCTCGCAGGAGCTGCATTGAGCCGCCAGGTCCCAATTCCTGGGCCCAGACTCTGTTTAAAACATTGCAACACTGGGCAGGCGGTAGGGTTTCCACCTCCGCGCGGTGGAGAGAGTCATTAGGCTTCTGTCTCTTGACGAAATAGTAGCGGATGGCGCAATTGCCAGTGCACTCCCAAAACTTTGCATCTCTTCGTAAGAATTCGTTCAAGACAGCATGTAGAAGGACAGTCCGCAGTGACGGGCCCGTACCATACCGAGGGCAGGTTCTGACACCTACCCTGGTTGATCGTCTGGGGGTGCGCCCCCCACCCACTCGAAGAGAGCTTCAGTCACAGACTGCTGACTCCCCTGCATATGGCACAGCCTCCCGCAGGGCAGGAAGGTTGGAAAGATCCATTCGAGTTCTTTCGTGGAACGCGGGACACCTAGGCCAACAGCAATGGGGCGAACTCAAAACGTGGCTAGCAGCTGAAGCCTCTCATCACTGTGACGTTCTCATATTACAGGAAACGCACTGGACTGAGACCAGTGAATTCAGCGTTTCTGGGTGGTACTGTATCTCCTCAGCCTCGGAGTCTACCAAACCGAACACCCGGCCTAAACAAGCTGCGAAGCGTAACACTAGGCAAGAACCGCGAGCTCCATCCACGACTCGCGCTGATGGAGTAATGATCCTATTCTCGCCCAAGTTCGTCCCCAAGAGCTTACGCTGGAAGGAATGGAGCCCGGGTAGGGTCTTAGAAGCTCGTGCAGACATTGCAGGTACTCGGCTGGTTGTTGTCGCGGTGTACCAACACGCTTGGTCTTCTGCCAAGACCATCCAGTCCAATAAGGATGACCGTGCTAAGGTACTATCAGTCATGTCCAAGGTGATCAAGCAGGTGCCTAAGAGGGACTCCCTTATTGTAGCAGGTGATTTTAACACTTCCCTGCGTCCGAGCTCTCCACTGGTGGGAACGCACGTGAAGCCACCCACTGAGGACCGCCCTGACGAATCCAACTTGTTTAACCTGCTGCTCAGGTTGCGTTTGGTTGCCCTTAACACATGGCAATGTGACCAGATAGCTACCTTCTCACAAGGAGGAGTGGAGTCGCAAATTGACTTCATTCTAACCAAAGAATCTACGGCGGGAGGCAAAGCAAAAAGGTCAGCCCCCTGGGTGGACTGCCCGTTGGGAAGCTGGAAGAAAGGAGGGCATTACCCGCTTAAAGCGGATGTACCCCTCCAGCATCACTGGCTGCTCCCATCCCATAAGCCCAGCACGCGCCGTTACGATTCACTTGCTCTACAGGCCTCGGTCAGAGAGGAGGACGAGACGGCAAAGGCACTGCACAGCTGGATAGCTTCCAGAATTGACACCTGCCAGGACCCCAAGGCATGGAATGCGTTGCTTTTGGAAGGTGCAGAACGCTTTTTTCCAAAAATTCCCAAACGAAGACCGATCCCGCTGGAATTGGAAACCCGTCGCATGTGGCGGGCCCGCACCCATGACAGGGTTGCGAACACAGCTCCCTCAGCACAGCTGATCGAGTCACCTAAAGCAATGGCACAGCCTCCTAATCAGAACACGCCACGTCCGCCGGACACCGAAGCCGAGCTGGCGCAAGTGGCACACCGCCAGGCTGTGAAGCAAGCAAAGAAAGATAGGATTGCGAGTTTCATATCGGAGGTGGACGCGAGTCTGGCTGAAGGTGACCAACATATCTCCTTTCAGACCCTCAAAAAGCTGCAGCCTTGGCAGCCTGCGCGCAGAGCTCAGCTAAAGGACAACACAGGACATTTGCTGGGTCCAGCGCAGGAGCTAGCAGCCCTCAGGGACTATGCCAATCAGGTATTTGCGGCCCACCCTCCGTTACGGACAATGCATGGAGCTTTCCCTGTTTTGGAGCCGCCCAAACTAGCAGCTCACATACATTCCATCAAGCCTAATAAAGCTGTTCCTGACGGAGCGGCACCTGCGGCTGTGTGGAGACTGTGTAGCGACATCGTTGCACCGATCCTCTCAAAACACGTAGCAACCAAGCAGGCCGAGGACAGCCTTGAATCCGACCTCGTAGACGCTGATCTCTGCTTAATTCCCAAGCCGGGCAAGCCCTCTGACAAACCAGCAAACTTGAGACCCTTGGGTATCCTTAGACCTGACGCTAAGGGACTGGCGGGAGCGGCCAGAGAAGCGCTTCAACCACTGACCCTCTCGTTCCTCAAGCACATGCCACAGTTCGCTTATCTACCAGGTCGGGGGCTGTCAGACGCGCTAGAACGCGTGGTGCATCACTTGCGTGAGGCTCGATCCCTGTTAGAACAGGCCCACCCCACGAGACATGCCATGCAACAAGGCATACAGGCCCCAGCCTTAGTTGGCGGCCTCACCTTTGCTCTTGACCTAAGCCAAGCGTATGACACGGTCTCTCGCCAAGAGATCATCGACCTTCTTCAGAGAGAAGGGGCCGATCAGGACACAGTCCACCTCGTTCAGGCTCTACATGACGGGTCTCGTTATGTCCTTCACGCGCAGGGAGATTCCACCTCTGTTGAAACCACAGCAGGCATTAAACAAGGATGTAAGCTCGCCCCCACACTCTTCTCGTTCCTTACAGGTGACCTTTTCCGCTCTCTGGTTGACCTATTCGGTGCTGAGCAGGTCTTGAAATTCCTGACAGGATATGCCGATGATCTCACGCTCCATCGGACAATCCGCTCTGACAAGGACCTCAGGGCCATTCATGCGCTCATCGCAGCGTTACTTGAGGAGGTCCGCAAACACCGCCTACGTGTCACGTCATCTTGGTGAAGTTAGCGGGTAGAGAATCCCAAAACGTGATGAACAAACACGGCTGCTGGATCACAAACTCCAAGGGCGAGCAGGTTCGGGGATGGCGCATCGGGCCCAATAAATCGTTCCCAGCCTTCCAGTGGGTTTCCTGTAGCAAGTACCTGGGGGTTATGATCTCCTACAACAACTTCGAGCTGCAGTCCTTGCATTACCGCATAGGGGAGGCAAAGCAAAAGCTGCATCAAGTCCGCCAATTTGTCTACAATCGAAGGTATGCGAGCACCATGTCGCGACTCAAGGTTTGGCAAAGCACAGTCCTGAGCACACTGACGACAGGCCTCTCAGACGTCGGACTCAGTGAGGAGGCGGCAAAGCAGCTACGTAGTTGGCATGCTTACAAGGTGCGATCAGTGCTGAACTTGCCAGCACATACCAGCCGCATCACCACTAAGGATCTCTTCCAGCTTTATAGCATTCAGGACCCGGTTCAAGCGATGCAGGTCAAGCTAAGGAAGAGACTCCGCAAACTTGAGCGACGCGCAGCCAGAAGCCCAGACATCACAACCGAGCATTCTGTTTTGCAAGTCATCCGGGACAAGCTGTACTTCCTATCACAACTCCCTGAAGCAGCTGAACACCCTGTAGCCCTACATGCGTGCACACTCTGCGATGCCTCTTTCGAGACAGCAAATGGGTTACATTTACACAAGTCGCGAGTGCATCCAGCCAGCATTGACCGATTTGTACCATCAAGCTTCGATCGACAACTCCACGCGGTGGATGGGATGCCGCAATGCGCCGCTTGCATGCGCAAATTTCA